GAGAGAGAGAGAGAGAGAGAGAGAGAGAGAGAGAGAGAGAGAGAGAGAGAGAGAGATTGGAATGGTGGTTGAACCCAGGGCCTCAACATGCTAACCAAATGCCTTGCCACTGTACCAAACCTCAGCCCCAGCCTTCAGTTTTGCAGTTTCTAGAATTAGTGTTTAAAACTGGGCATAATTTTAGTTACTTGCAGCTTCAGCTTTGTGTCTTTGAGTATCAGCCTTATGATTGTGGCATGTGAGTTTGCCTGTCTGGGAACCAGCTGCTCCTCTGTAAAGCAGGGGCACTAATGATATTCTTGGGAACAGCTTCACATGGGTTTGAGTCCAAGTTAGCATTCAGAAACATTAATGGGACCAAATTATGGTTTGTATTTTATGTCAACAGTCCTTCTAATGAGATGATTGACTTTTACATTTGGGACAAGCGTATGACAAATTGGTGGGATTTGTTGCCTGATCACGTGGACATTTTTGATAAACGAGGCTGGCCTAAGCAGCTGTGGATCCTGTCCAGGAAAAAGGACACATCTGCTCCACACACAGAGTTGGTCCTGACTTAAAAATCTTAAATCCTGTCAATACGGGCTTGCTCTCCTTCCCCACTGTCAGTGCATTTCCCTAGGCCAGAATCTGAGCAGCCTGTTCGCAGAGCAGCTGTGACTTGCAGTGAGTGAATTCACAGCTGTGTTTTGAGTACACCGTCACCTGAACCACATCTGTCTCCTCCAGTCTCTTGACCTTGGCAGGCCCATCTGAGTTTTAGTGGACCAGGTTGAGCTAGGGCTTTGTGCTCATTTAGGGACTGGACTGTGCGGACACTATGCGGGAGACACGGAAGAAGCACAGTCAATAGAACCAGGTAGTATTTTGTAAAATCCATGCTCTGTCTTCTCTATTGCCAAGGAATAGAATGTAGTAGACACCTGGGAATGTGGCTTCTGTAGACGTTACATGTAAGTAAGTGTTCCCTGTGATGTCATTGTTTGCCTGAGAAGGTTGTAATAATCGCTGTTGACTGAGTCTCAGGTGTGCCTTTTCCCATCTCTGCTATCAGCACCTGAAATGGTGGGACAAGTTACACATGCCTACAAAGCCTCTGTGTGGTCAAAAGGGGACATCTATATTTATCAGTATTTGCAAAGTACAAGAAACCAATTTTGGTTCATTTAAAACAAAACTACTTTATGGGAAGGCTGCTAGTAAAATCAGTAGCAACCATTAGGAAGGTGATTCCTGGGGTCTGGGAATATGAACTAGACAGAACTTCATAAAGAGATGTGTGCTGGTTAGTTAGTGTTTGTTTATTGTTGTTAGCTTGATGCTTGATAAAAGTTAGGGTCCAAGCTCAACTGAGAAAATGCCTCCATAAGCTCACAAGCGCCTGTAACTGCAGTTCCAGGAGATCTGATGCCCTTTTCTGCGTACCAGGCACACAAGTCTTGCATAGACACCCATGCACATAAAATACTCACACACATAGGGTGAAATAAAGCAAAATAGAATTTAAAAAAAAATATATTGTCTTATAGGCAAGTTGTGGGGGGTTTACATGGGAGGACCTAGCCCACTGTGGATGGTGTTACTCCTGGGTCCTGAGCTGTATAAAAGAGCAAGCTGAGCAAGCCATGGGGAGCTTCCATTCAGCCATTTCATTACACTGAACTAAATGAGCAGAGTGGACATCCTTGTCCCATTCTCACTTTAGGAGGTAGACTTAGTTTTTTCCCATGAGTATCATGTCGGCTATGTGTTTGTTGTATGTAGCCTGCATTAGGTGGCGGTATTTTCCTTGTATTCTGGGTTCCTCATGTCTTTATCATGAGGGGAGTTGAACTTTGATGTCAATATTTTATCATGTCACACATTTGTGGCCAGGAGCTTTCTTTCTCTTAATGGTGACATTGCTCATGTCCCTTCCTGTGGATCATGAAGGCCTGTGTGACTATGATAAATGTCCTACTGACAACTCCCGGGGACATTCTTACGTCTTTATTTCTTAGGAATTTCTGTTAATTACTGTGTGTGAAGTGCCCGGAGCTTAGTTTGGTTTGGACTCTCTCATTTAAAAAATTTTAAAGACTTACTTATTTTGTATACGAGTGTTTTTTCTGCTTTTATGTGTATGTACATTGCTTACATGCCTGCTACCTAGAGGCCAGAAGAGGTTGTCAGTCCCCTGGAACTGGAGTTATGGAAAGCTGTAAGTCAGCAACTCTCAACCTTCCTAATGCCGTGACAC